GAGAAACAGATTCATATTATTTGGAGACTTGAACTTCTCTCAGGCCATGACAGACCAAGTACATTTTAAAAAGTAAAGGTATAGAAAATTTATATAACAGAATTAATATGGCAGATCTGATATACCAAACTCTGTAACCTAAGAGAACATAACCTTCTTTTTTCTGCCCAAGGAACATTTACAGGAAATGACTATATATTGAGCTACAAAGTAAACATCAATAAATTAAAGAAATAATAATTGAGATCACATTCTGTGATGGCAATGCACAAAACTAAACAAAGAAAATTAAACTACAGGACACACCTACATTGAAAATTTAAAAACTCAAAACAACTCTTAGTTCATAGAATAAAAATCTGAAGATGCAGAAGAGCTGGGATGAAAAAGTATCAAATACTACACACACCAGCTGCTGAAGCAGTGCTCAGAGGAGTGACTTAACTAGTTAAGGGCCTTCCCTATTGAAATAGACAACAAAACAGCAAAGAAATGTATAAATCAAAGAGAAAAACAAACAACAAAATAAACCAGGGGAAACTGAAAGTCAAAGTAGACATCAATGAACTATAAAACTCAAAAATTAATAAATGAATCTAATCATATAAACTATCATCTAATATAATCAAGAAAAGTGGGGAGGAGAAAAACATAAAAGAAATAAAGGGGGGATAGCTATGGACAGAATTAAGACTGATAAGAGAGTCTCAGCTATGCAAACTGACTTAAAACCTCAATGACTAGGATAATTTTCTAAAGAAGTATATCAAAATGGTCTCAAGAAGAAACAGAAAATCTATACAGATCAATACCAAAGAGAGAAAGTTGTTAAAATACAATAGTCCCCCCAAATACTCTAAATTTAAAAGGTTTCATAGAAGGGCATTCCACCAAATCTTTAGAGCAGATAATCTGAAAGATAAATTGGTCTTAACATTAAAAAAATTCTTTTTCCTGAAACAAGTATGACACTGATAAGAAAATTTAATAGACCGCATATACACATAAACATCTATAGACAACCAGCACATGGATATCAATACAATGATCCCAGGAATTTATCATACTATTCTCTCTACTTCAATAGATGCTTAAAATTTTCAATGATTAAAAACTAAAATTAAAAAATGTTTACTCGAGGAGAAAAAAATTCTATCTAAATACTATTTTTCACTTACCAAAAGTTTGACAGCCATGTAGTAAAAGTGCAGGAAAAGAGGTACTCCCAGAAACTTCTAGTGATGGTATAAACAGATGACTTCCATGGAAAGCAAGCTGACAGTGTTTATGAAAATTTCAAATGCATATACCCTTTGAGGTAGTAATGTCAAGTTTTTAGGAATTTGTCCAATACATACAGTCATGAAATCTTGTGCACAATAATTCACTATAGCCCTGGTTGTCACAGTTAAAGATTAGAAATGACCTATAAGCCATCAGCAGAGAACTGGCTGATAAATTATAGTACACTCATACAAATTCTCAGAAGCCCTAAAAAAGAAAATGCAAGTTCTGCAGATACAGATATGGAAAGTTTTCTAAGGCATTAAGTTTAAAAAGCAAGGTACAGACAAAAGTAAATCAAAGCTACAGGGACAAGACAGGGAGGTTAGTGGACAAAAGTAGGAAGCAGGCTCTTCTATGTCCTTCTGCACCTTTTGACTTTGGAACCATGTAACTGGAATCTCAGGCCAAAACCAAAATCACATTTTTTAAAAACTCACCCCTCTAGAATGCACTATTGCCATTAGCAACTCAAAATCCATTGCCAAGACTTGCTGTTCTTGCTACGCTTGCTAACTCTGTGGAAGGCTATATTTCAAGTAAAGACTGAATTCAAGAAACTTTTGTTATTTTACAGGGCACACAGATGAAAGGGAGAGAGTACTCTAGAACCAGAAGGTCATCTAATTAGTGGTTCTCAACCCTGGTTTGCTTAAGAACAACCTGGGGAGCTCCTAAAATGCCAATGCCCTACACCCCATCCCCAGACCATTTACATTAGAAGTTTTGGGGATGGTGCCCAGGCATGGAAACCAGAGGTGATTCTGCTTCCCCAGGGCACATGGCACTGTCTGGAGACATACCTGGTTGTCAGCAGTGGGAACAGAGGTGCTACTGGCATCTAGTGGGTTGAGGCCAGGAATGCAGCTTCAGTAAACCTCCCATGAGGCACAGAACAGTCCCCCAACAACAATGACCTGTCCCCAAATGCCAAGAGGGCTGAGAATGTGAGACCCTCCTTTAAATAAAACCCTGGCTTCCAGAGTAACTACCAGTTTTCAGTCTTCACTCTTCAACAAGGAAGGTCATCTCCTTATTGACCAGTGTGGATACATTAGTACAAACAATAAAGCTGTCTTGGTGGCCATGGAAACCACAATTTATTTGTTGACATGATTATATCAGATACTGTAAACGTGGAATTCCATGTCTATCTTTGCTCTGGTCCCGTCTATAAAGTAGCCTGGGAGAAAGTCATAAAGTTCACAAAGTGGCGGCCTGTGGGTCAACACAGTCCACAAATACATTTTGCTTGAGCCCCAGGTCTTTTACAATATACTGAGTTGGTGCCAATCAGCTGCCCCTCACGGAAGGCAGCTATGCTCACCACTATATACAAGCTGCCCCTTGCAGAGCCAGCATATTACCTGGGAATTTGCCACTGTCCCACCCAGCTGGTTCACGTATTTGCCGGTCCCCACATCTGTTCCTTTAAGCATTGGCGGCAGCCCTCCCCTGCAGTTCTCTCCAATCAAACAGGGGAATTAAGCCTCTTTACTCTTCTTCCTCCTCACCTCAAAATATCCCCACACCCATTCTAAATTCTCATACTCTCACACCACTTACCAAAATAGAACTTTCGTCATGGGCAAGAACTAAGAGAAACGTCGAAGTCGAGATGGTCCTTGCAACAACTCTTATAGGCTGCTTGCAACCTGTCTCTGGGTATTACAAACAGGCTTGTAGTTTCTAGAAAATTCCACACAATTACATATAGCTCTTCTATGAGCTTCCTTATATGAAAAAGACTTTAAATATTAGGTTTCTTACATTATCCTAGATTAGCGTATCCCTCCACACCCTCCCCAAATAGGTCAGAAACCTTTTATGGGAAATATCTATCAACAGATTTGGTAACTTTCTTTTAAAAAGCTCATCCCTTTTCCTTTGAAATTATAATCACACAGTTTTGGAGCTGTGCTTTAGAGATTACCTGATATAATCCATGTGTTTTATTAATGAGGAAAATGAACCCCACTGAGGTTCACATAGTTATACCAACTTTTTAAGTATGAGTTGGTGGCAGAGCAAGAATTAGAACATTTGCTTCCATGGTCCCATGGGTTTACAGTAACACTCTCCCCCACTGTAGTTTTCCTAGTCAAATCATGTCCTTACCAAGACACCTATTAATGTGGGTAGAGATACTAGCTCCTATGCAAATGAACCCACTGAAATTCTGTCAAGTTTTTAGAGTTATCACTTTAACTTTGAGGGTGGAAGGGAGGAATTGGGAGCTTCTGGATTCCTTCTGTCCCTTTTATTGTAAATTAACCTGGCTCAGTTTGCCCCAATGAAAGACTGATATCTTCAGAATTTTTTCTAAACCACAGAGATGGAGAACATGCTATTTATATGGCTTCAGAGACACTTTGTTAACTCTGAAGCCAGGAGCGGCCTCAAACCTCTAAAAGGCTCACAGGTGGCCAGAGATTAAACTACTGAAAAGCTTTTGAGAGTGAAGTTTTAAGATGTGAAAATCAACATCTCTTTGAACTTTGACTTCCCTCATCATTCTCTGGCAAATTGGTTTCTTGAAATTTAATTCAGTCTCAACTTTAACCTATTCCTTTCTTCTCATCCCAACTTTTTAAGTATGGACAAAAACATATTTTGCATATTGAGTTTTCCTGGAATGTTCCACCTACTCTGCAGTTTAGTTTGTATGCCCACCTGATACCATCCCTTGACATTTATGGAAAATTCATTAAATAAACACGCGACCATTATTTTCCCTCGAGAGCTTAAAACATCTTTGCTGTTCCATTTTGCCCTCCTTCCCGGATGCCCAGGTCTGTTCTGATACCTGGACGCACTTTTTTTTTTTTACTTTCAGGTGTTTCACAACCAGCTCCCTCGCACCAGCAATTGCGAGTGTTCACTCTGCAGTTGAAACGGCACCTTTCTGGAGAAACACAATCCGGTTAACAGAAGGTGGAGGAATCTATACCCATCTCAGCTAGGCCTCAGGCAGCACGGGGGCCGGGCCTTCTGTGCTCCCACTTCAACCCCTGGAAGCTGCACACCAGCTCACCCGACAGGGGCCAAGGTGGGTCAGACACAATGGAGAGGCGTGATAGAAGGTTCTGGCAGCGAAGCCGCGGTTGTATCAGACCCTGCTCTGACGCTTGGAGCCCACACGCCTGCTCTCCCCCAGCATCTAAGGCGTTTGAAGTCCAGGCCTCTAACTGGTTTAACATAACACGAGGAGGGCGACAGTTCGAGTTCTGCGCTGCCACACTGGAGCGCCTCAAAACAGAAAAGGAACAAAATACCATTGCATAATTTCTTCCACCGCGAAGTGTTTCTAAACAGCTGTCATCCAACCAAAACAAGAATGTAAGATTAAAAACGTTAAAAAACCACCCACATTGTACCCCGAAGTTTTAACGGCGGGGAGGTCTGCGTCAAGTAGATTTGAAGCTAACGAGGCAGGTTTGGCGAGACCCGCGGGGATGAGATCTGGGACGTGCTTTCTATCTCCGGGTATGCCCCCGGCCGGTGTGCGGGTGCCAGGCCCTGCCCCTTCGTGCCCCCAAAGCCGAGTCCCTGGGAGAACCCCCAAGCATCCCGGAGCCCCGCCCGCGGTTCCCACGGACTTTGCCCCGAGGCTGCGGAGACCCGCGGCTGCAGCGGTGGGCCCAGAAGGCAGCGGCTCCGCGTCCCGGACCCGCAGGGACCGTGACGACCGTGGGGACCCGCAGCCCCGTACTCACCGAAGTCCAGGAACTGCTTGATGGAGAGCGGCGAAGGCGAGAAACGCGAGTAGCGCTCGATCTGCTTGGGCACCGTCTGCTTCAGCAACCAGCAGAACAGCCGCATTCTCGCCGGGGCTGTGCACAGGCCAGTCGAGACGCCCAGGCGGCCTCAGGGGCCGGTGCAGCCGAGCCGAGCCGGCACGTTCGCCAAGAGCGCACCCGGGCCTCCGCCTCGGCCTCAGCGCCGCGGGTGCAGCCGCCACCGGCCGCCCGCGGCTGCCCCCCGGCTTCCCCAGGCCCCGCCCACGGGGGTGGAGCCGGCAGCTGCACGTACGCGGCGCACGCGGGGCGCCGGGGTGAGGGGGGCGGTGTCGAGGGCCGCGGGGCCGGCGCCGGTCTCTGACTCGCAACCGCCGTCGCCGCCCTTGCTTTCTGTTGCCCGAGTTTGGTTGTTTGTCCGTCGCTCCCTGGCTCCTGGGACCTAGCCGGGCCGGGCAAGTACAGCTGCCCGGATTACACACCCGACTTGGTCCCCCAAGATAGCGCCCGGGGACCGTGAGGAGGCCAGGAGCCCACTCCCGGAATTCTATTCTACGCGTCACTCAAGGCCACTCTCAACCGGAGGCACCTCTTCCGGGAGGTCTTCCCTAGGGGAGCGGACTGCTGCATTTCACGGTTTTCGTTGGGTCTTGACACTTCGATTTTCATGTTCTATTGCCACTTAACTGTAGTGGCTGTTGCCTGTTCTCCACCGCTACCACCACCTTTGGGCAAAATTAAATATGATCTCACTGGCTCTCTTTCATGCCCCCCCTTCCGCCCTGCCACCATATAACGTCACTGACTCTGTTTCCGGGCTCCCCTGCCTCCTCCCTCCCCGCCTCCTCCCTCCCCGCCTCCTTCCCCCATCTCCCACTCCCGCCTCCCCATCCTCCCACCCAGCTCTTTAAACACTTTTGGACAGGATTGTTAAGTCACTGACTCTGTTTCATGTCGCCACCATCAACACCATTGGACAGAATCAAGTGTAAAATCACTGACATTTCCTTTCGTGCCTTCCGCGCCGCATGCACACTCTCCCTAACACTATTGGGCAGAATTAATTGTAAGGTCACTGTTTCATTTCCCCACCACCACTACCATTGGGAAGGCTCAATTTAAGGTCATTGGCACTGTCTTTCACCCCTCCTCACCACCACCACCACCCTAGGACAGCTCCCTGACTCAGTTTTATGCTTCACCACCGCCAACGCCACTTTTGGACAGGAGCCTATGTATTAGATATTCTTTGCATAAGTGTGAACTTGAACTCAGGGCTCAGTATATGAAATCATTATTTCCTAATGTGAATTTATGAAGTAATATTTTAACCGTTTCCACCAAACCTTGCTTTATTTTTGCTATACATGAACATCAACTAAAAGAAAGGTAGAGAATGCTCTCTAAGGAAAGGAAAAAACATAACTGGAAGCCATGCCTTTGGTCTGATTGGACTAGTTTTCTCACTGAATAAGATTGTTGGTATGTAGTTCTTTAGCTTCTATGCCTCATTGGGTATTAATGCACCCAAATCTTTGCTTAATAATTGCATCTTTAATCTTAAAAAAAAGTAATACGTACACTCAAAGACACACATTTTCAAGTACATCTTGGTCACCTTGATGGCGGTAAGGAATGTAGACTACCATGCCTTTCTGTTCAAACCAAAGCCTGTTAGAGAGATATACTAACAACCTCTTTAAAGGGGAACTTTGCCCGCAGAGCTAAGCAATTCTGTTGGAGTGCACAGGCAGACAAAAAGACGACCTGTGGCCTGTGGTTCTTCCAGGGCATTCTCAAGCGCTCCCAGGAAGCAGAGTGTACTTGATGGCAGTTGTGGTCAGCGAGCACGACAAAGTTGCATATCAGTGCAGAGGGCAGTTTTCTCAACTTAAGCAGCAAACCATTGCTGCTGACCTTCCTGAGCTTCCAAATCACTTGTTTCACTCCTCTGTTTTCCACTATACAAAATGCCACTTTAAGTCTACGTATTCTGTTGATTTGATTTCTTGAACTATCAAGTACCTAGTTTTATTAATGCTTCTCCAAAAAGTGGCAGAGTCCCAGAAGTTGGGAACAGTAGGAAAGAGCCTGGTAAAATAGAAATTATGCTGCTCCAGGGCTCAAATGGCCAGTCCTAAGATTGGCCCTATCCTTAGCTAGCTGTGACCTTACACAAGTCACTTAGCATTTCTGTATCCCAGTTATTCCTTATGTCAGATGGAGATACCTGATTTCTTTCCCTGGCATTTGTGACAATCAACTAATAAATCTTATCTAATATAAACACATGATACTGTACCTCTTTTATGCAGTAATGTGTGTGTGTGTGTGTGTGTGTATATATATATATATATATATATATAGCTAATAATTTTATTATTATAAAATTAACTGGCAAAATCCAGAAGTTAAACCAGTAGACTGATTTCAGTACTGGTTGTAGTTATAAGAAAAGGATCTTGATCTGACTAGCTTTTTTCAGTTCCTTGTACACATAAAGATCTCTTGCCCAGGCCCTGCTCCCAGTGGCTCTCAAGGAGAAATTCCCCGGCCAGCAGCAGGAGCTTCACCTGGGAACTTGTTAGAAATGCAGACTCTTGGACCCTACAGAAGACTTACTGGATCAGAAACCCTGGGGTTTTAAATCTGTGTCTTAACAAGCTGTGGGGTTTTGGAAGATGCGGCCACAAATTATTTGATACCCCTCCCCTCAAGAGATGGAACTTAATTCTCCTCGAGTGTGGGCTAGATTAGTAATTGCTTCTAATAGAGGATGGACAGAAGTGCTGACATCTCACTTCAAAGATTAGGTTACAAAACAACCTGAGTCCTACAAATACCTGAGCAATATTTCTCAAAACTATCAAGGTCATTAAAAACTAGGGAAATCTGAGAAACTGTCAGTTAAAAGAAGCCTAAGAAAACATTACAATTAAATATAAGGTGCTATCCTGGATGATATTCTGCAACAGATAAAAGGACATTAGGTAAAAACTAAGGAATTCTAAATAAAGGATGGACTTTGGACCAAATTTGTTTAATAATATTGTATTAACATTAGTTCACAGATTGTAACTATAATATGTAACTGAATGCAAGATATTAATAGTAGGAGAAACTGGGTATGGAGCTGCTGATCTGAAGCTCCTTGGGAGCTTGGGGTGTAATCTGAAACCAGCCCCCATATGTGGAGGGCAGGGAGAGACCCAAGAGAGGCAGACCACTCTAGGCTGGCAGGTGGCAGGTTTAATAAGCAGGGGAACTTACATAAAAGGCTTGTCTTGGGGTGGCCACAAGATGCTTAGATCTCTGCACCCACCTGGCAAATCTTATATAGAGAGGTCTTAACTGGGCTCAGTCTCGTATACCATCCAGATGGTCTCAACACATCACTATTTCAAGGTTAGTTCTTGAGGCAGCCTCTGGCCGCTTGGAAGGCAAACAGAGCCCACATTCCAAGGATAGGGGAGATTAGGAGCCTCTGATTGCTGGGGTCCAGCTCACAGTTCAAATGGCATGTCTTCTTGAGGTCCTTCCCCAGCAAGGACATATGGGAACTTTGTGTACTATTTCTTCTTTTGGCTGTAAATCTGAAACTGTTCTAAAAACTAAAATCAATTACACAATACAGTATTGCTAACTATAGTCATTGCCAGAACTTATTTATCTTATAGCTGGGAGTTTTGAATGCTAAGAGAGCAGATCTTAAAAGTCCTCAGTGCAAGGAAAAAAAGAGTTGTAACTATGTGAGTTGATGGATATTAACTAAATTTATTATGGCAATCATTTCACAATGAGTACATATACCAAACCACTATCTTGTAAACTTTAAACTTATACACTGCTATATGTCAATTGTAGCAATAAAACTGGAAAAAGGCAGTATCTTTGGGTTATAAAATATAAAAGAAAATATGTTTAAAGAAAATATGTGAGATCTTAATAAAAATATTTTATTATAACCATAGAATAGCTATTGAACATTTAAATGACATGTATTACTAAAAAATAATAATAAAGTGAACATTTTTTAAAAAGACCATGGCTTCCATCTTGGAATTTTCTCTCTCTGTTCCTCTCCTCTCTGTCTCTGTGTCCTCTCTCCGGAGCCACCAGCCATGCTGTGAGACAGCCCTGTAGAGAAGCCCACAAGAGTGAGCCGATCCTTTTGGAAGCAGATCCTTCCCCTGTCTGGTACCTTGACTGCAACCTTATGAGAGAGAGACCCTGAGCCATAATCACACAGCTAAGCGGTTTCTGGACTCCTGACCCACAGAAACTCTCACAGTTTGTTGTAATAAATGTTTGTTGTTTCTAGCCACTATGTTTTTTAATCTCCAAGCCCTCCAGGTGACTCTGAAGCCCGCTAAAGCGTGAGAACCACTGTCCTACCCTCTGCGTGCTAACCCAGCTTCTCACGCCTCAGAATTCAGTGTGATCAGTGCTCGGACATTAAGGGAGGCCTTCCATGACCATAAAGACAGTTTGTTCCCATGCTGTCTGGTTTCCTGATTCTCTGTACTTCCCACTGTAACACAAAATACTGCATTGTTTGATTAACGCCTATCCTTCACACTAAATATAAGCCCTGTGATGGCTGGGCCCAAGTCTGGCTTATTCACTGTCTCACTCCCAGTGCCCAGCATAAATACCAGTGCTATTTAGGTCCACAACAAATATTAAGTCAAGTGAAAGCCAACAACAGTTAAAACAAAACTATCCCTAATCACATTCCTTCCTATCAGCTGTCAATGGGGAATGAAGGCAAGGGTAGTATTTTGAGTAAGTCAAGCAATAATGGATGTTTTATTAAATTTGATAAAGCCAAAGCCAAGATCCAAAGTGGAGTGGAACAGATGAAGGGAAAATATAACCCATGATTATCTCATCGTCGATCACTAGTTGGTTGATCTTGTTGTAAAACTCTCCGCTGGCATCTATCTTGGCTATGAAATCCTGATTTCCTCCCCATCTTTCCCTTGTCCTCTTCATTCTCAACTGACATTTTTGAACACCTACTGTGTGCTCTGTGGAAGTACCTATGTTGTCTCGTCATGTGTGATGCATGAATATTAGCTTCATTTTACGGGTAACTGAGCTAAGGCACAGAAAAGTTAAAATAATTCAAGATCACACAGCTTGCAAATGACAGTCTAGATTTGAATCCAGGTCTCCTGACTCCCAATTCTCTGTTCTTTCAAATCTCAGCCTGCAGTTATTAACAGGCTAGTTTTTAAAAGCATTTTTGGGTTCACAGTAAAATTGAGTGGGAAGTACAG